TGGTAGTGATGGGAGCCTAAACGACATGAGGAATTTACATTTAAAATGATAATTTACATAAATAATAAATAATGAATTATAAACCATTAATTAAAGTAGGGATTGAACCCGTTGAGAAAATCTCTGCCCGGGTATTATTAATTTACCCGGGTTATCCGAGTAAGTTATTATATATTTTGGGTAATCGTATAGTAACAATTTCTACCCGGGTTCAATCCCTAAATCAAAGGCACCCTTACTAACTTATTAACACGTTCAAGACCAAGTTCTTTTAGTCTCTGATTATAAATCTATGATTTGATTATATATGAAATCAATTTGAAGTTAAGTTTGGACAAATACAAAAAGGTCAATGTATTCATGTATTCTTACAGGCAATAAGCTGATGGAACTCCAATATGTAGCTATACCATCCTAAAAGTTTAATAAATCAAATTAATTAGAATATGATAAAAGTTTCCAGAAATAAAAGGAATTCGGAACATACAATAGCTTTCCATATTTTTTCACTTAAACCAAAGGGAAGCCATTGCAGTGAATTAAATGGTTGACCATAGACCGCCTAAAATTAAACCATTTTTTTTTTTTTTTTTTTTTAGTTTAGGATTTAAATTAGATCGCGTATTTGACATTTATGATAAATACAAACCCCAGTATAATTCTTAGAACTTGCATAAGGATAGAAACAAACAAAAGCAACAGGTATATTTCGAACAAGGCACTAAATGTAATTTGGAATCGCAACATTGGGCAAATTAGGGTGTTATTTCCAGAATATAAAGGTATATAATGATTTCTTTACCTCCGGATACATATATGTTGATCCAGTCCCTAATATTACGAAATCGATATTTAATAAAACTCTTTCTGCATCTCTAAATTTAAGAAAAATAAGTTGTTATTACGAGAAATGGCATGTTATTTTATTTTATTTCAAAGAACCATCCAAGAATCATAATTATAGAGTTTCAATCCGTATAAATCCGTATAAATCCGTATAAATCTGTCATCCGTTTATCCATATCTGAATTTATTTGGATATCCGTTTACTATTGATATCCGAATAATCGGATAAATTATTCGAATATCAATAGTTAACGGATATCCGGATAAATTCAGATCGGGTACTTGGATAACGGATTACGGATATCTGGATAAACGGTTAATGGATTGGAACTCCATATGATTATAGTAACTTTTTACTTTTTTGAATTGTAAATTTTTTCAGAGACAACATTTAGCAAAGTTTAAAGGAGAGAATGATGTATTTATCTCAAGGCAATAAATGGTGGTTTTAAAAGTACTAGCTACTTAATTCTCACTCCTAATTTACAAGCAAATAAAATGAACTGTAAATTTTAATAGATTATATGTACTTACTTGTAGGCTTTTTGGATTCCTTGATTCAAAAATTTAAACATAGCTGGAGGGCCTAAGATAATGGAACCAGAATGCTTTACCATTTTTTTTCCTATTAAATAAATGAATAAATAAATATATATATAAAGATTAATTTTATTTTTTATGATAATATAAAAAACATTATATTATCAAAATTATTACCTGCATCAGTGTTTTCCCTTTATTCATAATTTATCGTTATTGTTAATTAGCGTGAGAAAAATACCACTTTTACTTTAAATGCTTACCATTCATCTTGCATGTCCCACTTTACAAAAAAAAATAAATCGGGTTTTTAGATCTCAAACCAGTTAAAAACTGTGAGAAAATTGATAAATAATACAAACACTTATTTCTCTAAATTCGAATCCTCTAGCTTCAATTAATTTCCTAAATCTGAGATTCGCAGCAATTATGACGTTATGTCCTCGACGACTAAAACCAACACCAAGATTTACAAAAGGGAGAACATCGCCCATGGATCCAATGGCTAGAATTATACAATAAAATTGAATAAGAATTATAGTAATTAATTATAGAAATTAATAATAATTATTAAAAAGCAACCTACCCATGAACAAGATTTTCTTTGGAAATGGAGAAGGCTCAATGATGTCAGACATAATTATTGATATTATAAACGAGTTAAAAAGTTGTCAAGGCAGGTTCGGAAAATTTAGTCACGAATCTATTTTGACTGATATTTTATATAAAGAAAACCCCGCGACTTTTTTAGGTGACTTAAAAAATGCAATCCGTAGATCTGTTTGCTGACAAGTGTTTAAATATCGGTATACTAAGATGTATAATAAGGTATTATTATATGAGACATTGGTAAATCCATTATACGTACGTAGCTGATTATTCTGCAATTAACGATTTCATAATTTCCAAAAAAAAATATATATATTTTAAATAATTATGCGTCGGCCGGACAGATAAAATAAATGCAGCAATGGGTAAATGCAGTGTGGTTTACGCCATTAAGTTACACCAATGCATAAGTCGATCGATATATGTGAGCACACGCCAGGGGATAAGTTGGACAAGGTTCATTAAGTACGTATCAAATAGATTTGCAATCAATAAGAGTTGACTTTGATATGCCAAATAAATGCAATCTACGACACACAAAGGACCAATCAATACTTTATTTTGAATAAATGCCTTCATTTTTGGCTGTCAAACGGTGATACTTTAGCCCCTATTTCAAATTTTGCTAACTGGATAAGGGTTCGAACGTCCATGTGTTGCCCATGCTTTGTAATTGCTGCCTTATCCCCATTTCCCCAAAATTAATTATAGCATTCCATAGCATTCTGATAAACTCATACGGAGAAAAGCAGCTGGTAGGTGTTAAGTTTGACTATAAGAATTTTGCATATTAATGATATTAATTGATAACTTGCATGATAGACAATTAGAGCACTCTTAAGTTAGTTCATTGTTATTCTATTCAAGCTTCTATAACTCACTTTATGACAAAATTAAAAATAAAATAAGCATATTACGAAGATCGGTCAATTAGCATTCACCCAAAATAAGGTGTTTACATCGTTGTTTACGTAATATTATATTGTGTAACATTTGCATTTTGAGTTAATTATCACGAGATATACCACGTATTTAGTAAAAAGATGCTCTTTTGATAATCGTAATGAAAAAATACGCATATATATGCATGATTATCATCGATACTCCCTCTCGATTATTCTATTAAAAATCTCTCTAGGAACGTACGTAACGATAGATAATGTACAAGGCTAAATAATTATGTACTCTAAAAGGCTGAAAAAAAACCAGCCCAATTTCTTGTCTTAATTATACCAAATTTAGTATCATCCAAGCTGTCGGTAAATGAGTCATTTATAAACCCCACAATCCGGTATGCGTCTCTGCAGGGTTCACAGTTAATCTAAATAAAGCTAGATCGAGTTTTTACTCAATATTTATTCAATCCCCGATATTCATAATCTAAATCTCTATTCGATAAGGAAAGAAGTACAAAATTTATACATTGCTTGGTCTTTTTTCATATGATATAATCCATTATTTTTTTTTTTGACAAACCTGCAAACTTTGTAATGCCATGCATATTAATATTTCAATTCTCAAGCAATTCTCAAGCAAACCTTAAGTATAAAAAAATGTTATGGCTGGTTATGAGAACAAAAAAAATAATATTGCTTAGTCTAATATTAGAAATTTTTTTATTTCTATTATATATAGGAAAAAAGGTTCAACCGGCTACAACCAGTGTTGGCCTATGACCTATTATGACTTATTGGCTAATTATAAGTTATGACCTTATGACCTATTATGACATATAAAATCCTATGACATGTTATGAAATGTAAAATTTACTATTACATTATGACTACCTTGGTTATATAAAGTTGGATATAACCTAAAATGGTCAAGGCAAAGATATATCAAAATCTTGTAGATTTTTAGCGTATCATTTTTTTATAGGACTAGTATGTTAATGGTACGTCGATAGAAATATATTGGATCATCCTTAGCGTGGAGAGCGTCATCTATATTTTAAATACAATTCATAAAATGCAACTACGATCAACCAGATACGCGTCACTTCATAAATAATCATTTCACAGACAAGCTTTCTTATTCTCCTATCTAACATCTTGTAGATATTACCTAATTTGTCTTTATCTCAAAAGAGTATCTCCCTGATCAACTAAGTTAAATTAATATATTAATAATAATAAATCTGTATCGTATTTGCGTAAAATAACGCCCCGGGCGTTATTTTGAGGCGCACAACTTCCAAAGTGCTAAGAACCAATTTTGACAAACACGCCCAGAGGCGTTATTGCACGCAAATACAATAAATACAAATACCAATACAAGAATAGTGAAACATATAAACTTACAAATTTGCTATCGAAACTTACTTCTGACTTACGCGTATATTTGTACAAATAAAATTCTTTTGTATTTCTATTAAAATGCTTTATAACACTATAGAGAAAATTTTTGACTTATATGCATCATCATAATAAACGAAAATTCTATAATCGTCCATTTCATATTTAAAATTGGTGATTATATAAGGTATCTGTCTATCCGTTCAGATAAATCGGAATTTATCCGTATCTGTCTATCGAGGTAGGAACGTCCCGAGTGCCCCGATTTTGTAGATCGTTACACAATTGATTAAAGATCTTTTTTTATACGTTTTACAATACTTTTTTCGAAAGCTCG